ATTCAAAGAACATTCGATTTGTATTGATAATGAGACGTGCTGATTAGTTTTTAGCGAAGGCAGGTCTAGCCGTTCCGAAGATACGGGGCAAAAAGTGATGAAAACAGTAACTCAGTTTTTAAGAGAACGGAGCGTCCGATTTGTATAATTCAAAAAACATTTCACTTGTATTGATAAGATGAAGAATCGATAAAATTTTCATGGAGGTAGGTTTAGCGGTTTCGGAGATATGGAGGAAAAAGTAAAAAAAATGAGCCATTTGGCGGTCAAAAATGATCATTAGACATATGCACATCAAATTATCAGATATTTCATAGAGATTTTAACAATAAGTATACATTTTGTTAACATTCCTATGGGTTCCGTACCAATGCTTATGCGTTAGACAGCGACGCGGCGCTTACGCGCTTTATATTTTGTCCCTATGCAGTTAAAGCAGTACGATTGCTTTGAAAAAAAGTTCAGATCTTCCACAATATGTCAAAATAAAAAAAAAAAAATTTCAAAAAAAAAACAAAAAAAAAATTTAAAAAAAAATATTTTTTTTAAAAAAATTTTTTTTCAAAAAAAGTAATTTTTTGTCCAATTTATAGTTTCTCAAAAATCTTATTTTTTCAAAGTATTTTTTTTTTTCAAAAATGTTCGTTTTTAAAAAAATTATAATTTTTGGTACGGGAAGTTCCAGCAATTTGTCTTAAGGCACGATGCCTTAATTGCCTTAAGACAGAATTCCACTTACAGCTAGTTTTTTTAATTTTTTAATTATTATTAATTAAATTATTTTGTAATTAATTAATTAATTAATTTAATTATTTTGTAATTATTAATTTAAATATCTGTAAATTCATTTTTTGCACACCGTCTACTCAAGCAAAATGTTTTTTAAATTAATCTAATCGAAGGATCCGTTCTCTCAAAAACTGTATAACCATTCGGCAGGTCCTGCGGTTATGGACTCTCAAAAATGTTTATTGGACATATGTACATCAAATTATCACATATTAACTTCCCGTAGGGTAAGTTATAGTAATCGCAAAAAAATCGAAAATGAAAATTTTTATATATCTTTACGTTTCAGAGGTTTCTGAATATTTTGGCATACCTTAGAAAAAATGGATGTATGTGTGTGTGTGTGTGTGTGTGTGTATGTGTGTGTGTGTGTGTGTGTGCGTGTGTGTATGTATGTGCGGATACAAATTTTCGTCGACGATTTCGGGAACACGGATCAACCGATTTGAATAATTCAAAAAACATTCGATTCGAATTGATAAGGAGACGTGCTGATTAGTTTTTCGCGAAGGCAGGTCTAGCCGTTCCGGAGATACGGGGCAAAAAGTGCCGAAAACGGTAACTCAGTTTTTAAGAGAACAGATTTTAATAATTCAAAAAACATTTTACTTGTATTGACAAGATAAAGAATTAATCAAATTTTCATAAAGGCAGGTCTAGCGGTTTCGGAGATATAACGAAAAAAGTAAAAAAAAATGCCATTTGGCGGTCAAAAATGATCATTAGACATATGCACATCAAATTTTCAGATATTTTATAGAGATTTTAACAATAAGTATAAATTTTGTTTATTTTTTTAAAAATTTTTTTTTTCAAAAAAAAGTATTTTTTTGTCCAATTTATAGTTTCTCAAAAATCTTATTTTTTCAAAGTAAATTTTTTTCAATTTTTCAATTTTAATCGTTTTTAAAAAAAAATAATAATATTTGGTACGGGAAGTTCCAGCAATTTGCCTTAAGGCACGATGCCCTAATTGCCTTAAGACAGAATTCCACTTACAGCTAGTTTATAAAGATTTTAATAATGTGTACACATTTTGTGTAAAATTTTTTGTTAGAGATTTTTAATTACGTTACGAGAAGTTCCAGCAATTAACGGGACGATGGCATGCACCCCAACCAAAAGCTAGTAACTTTTGGTTGGACAACCTTGTAAATATGAAGAGCTAAGCAAAATTTTTAAAAAGTTTTGTTGCTTTATTTTCCCTGTAGTGAAAATGCTGTCAAAAATAAATTGTCAGAAGCCAGAAATAAATTGTCAGTTGATAGAAGTTTATCGATGTGTGTCGAGGCGCTCATATTATACTAATACATACTCGTAGAATTTATTTGAAAAACTATTCGATCGATTTTTCAAATACTACATAAGGTCAACTACATTATGTAAAAGTAATTTCAGAAATTACCTTATAAAATCTAGCCTATAACGAGTTGATGAAAATAGATTATGAACATTTTTTGCATCAAGTTATAGTTAATTTATTAATCTTATTTTTTTATTTTCCAGAAGTTGTTTAATTTAGCACCAAACTAATTTATGATCTTATCATTTACTCGTGCCAAATCTACATTTTGCATTTATTGTGTATGTTTGTGTATTTTCATGTATTCTGTTCTAAAGTTGTTGAACTTTAGATTGGCATAGTACAGTAAACCTTTAACCCTATAATCACACAGTCCTTAATTATTATTAAAGGGTATAATTATTATTCATAACACGTAAATTGACTTAAATTATTAAGTTTGCCTTCATATGTGGATTGTACTTAATAGGGTTCATGGCTTTTATCATAAGGGTACCTTTCAATTGTTAATGAACATAATATACGAAACAATTCGGTTTTTGTTATGAAGCTGGTGGTCAATTTTTAGTCAAAGTTTTTAGTTAAAGACTGATTATTTATAAATTAACAATAATAATATATCATCATATGATACTATTACGAAAATATAAATTGGACTATTAAATTAAATAGTATTTATAATGAAACAAAAGAGTGCGCGTAAGGTTCACACGCGATTGAAGAGAAACTTATTTGCTACTATACAGGATGGCATTTAAGTAAAAATAAATACGTCATATAACAATTTTGAATAATGTTTATTAGTAATATGGTAACACTCATGATACACACATTTATTAGTGTCAACCATTATACACATTTATATAATGATAAATTATAAATTATATATTTATAATAGCATTAAAAATATGTATAATATTTGAAACAATAATTTAATTAACGTCATACTTCAAATATAATATGATCAGTTTGTCATGGTAATTAGCATTTATAAATGAACCTTCATTACAGAAATGAAGAAATTGCTGATTAATAAAATCTATAATATTCGTTCACACAGAGGATTATGTTAAACAACAAATATTTTTTTGCAACTTCACTCATCATGTAATTGTGGTTGAAGAACTTCATGTAATTAAAATTAACATACATTAATTGACTGCTTGTATAATCTAATCGATATAATCTAATTCTTTGAACAGCTGTAATATCTGTTTTGCCTAAAAAATATTTTCCATTTTAGTAACTTCAAAAATTTATAAAAACTATGAATAATATAGAAATAATTTCTAATCAATAAACGTAAGTTTCGTACACAGATCAAATTATTAATTTGTTTTATTATTTTTAAGGAACAGAATAAAATATTGTTCTGATTCAGGCATTTTTGATTAAATCAAGATTTGTATTACAATGTAACTTTGAAATCTTTATTTAACTATGCCGGTTTTCTTGTTGATATCGGTACGCATACATCGTTGATGTCGGTAAGCATACAACGAGAGATCTCTATTCACATACACGACGACTAATCACAATCGACCCGTATAGAAATGATCTCATCGAGAGCGAATGACCAACAGTTTGGGCGTAACAAACTTTCGTTGCATTTGTACAGATTTACACCCTAGTCGCGCCTAAAGCAATTTAACTTCAAAAATATTATTTTTGAGGAGTAAAAATAGCAAACAATGTTGCTTTCTGAAGTAATTATTATTTTATTGTGAGAAACTTAATACGTGCAACCTGAAACAGATTTAAAGTAATTTATATTGGCGCGTATGATTGAATTATATAATGAGTAATACTGTGGCAAACATTTTTTTATTTTTACGAATATATTATGACTAGGATTTATACAAAAACCGACATTTTAGAAAACTGGTTTTCGAATTTTAATTTTACTAAAAAGACGATTTTTACCGGTTTTCGAATTTTATATAGAAAATAAATTTTTGCTCGAATATTCTGTAATTTATCCGCAAATTTAGTGTAATTTGGAGCAGTATTTGCCGAAATTTATTTATTGTTTAATTTTATAGATAGTAAACAAAATTATTTTGATTTTAATTAGTAGTACTAAAAAATAATAGTTTATCTTGATTAAATAACTTTGAAAATAATTATTCGTTATTCATGCATCATATTCACATATAAAAATTAAAATATTTTTATGACAGTGAAAGGAAAGTTTTCGAATAAATAAAAATAATACATTTTTTAATAAAAAAATGCATCATATTAATATATATATATATATATATATATATATATTATATATATATAATATATATATAATATATTATATTATATATAATATATATAATATATATACATACATATATATATATATATATATATATATATATATATATTAATCAATTTTAGTTTTAAAAATAATTAAGTTAAACTCGGGTATTGTCTGTTCCGAGCAATTTTAATTAATTAATTTTGAACATTCTATTTATTTTTTTATTTGAAAAAATATGATTTCAAAAAACTAAGAACGTCTATCAAATTTTTACTTAGACATGTCCTTCATTGTTTCTAACAAAATTTTCTGAAATAGAAAATACTCACATACTTGCGTCCAAATTATGCTTAGCTGCTTTTAAAGCCTGATATAATAATTCTAAGTTTTTTGCTCTTTAATTTGTGGCTTCTAGGGTTTAAAACTCCTTTTTTTAAGTTTGAGTAGGGGAAGTTAGTTCTTTAAGAAGAAGGCACACTGATCTAAATTAATATATACAAGACCTTTCTGGGAACCATTGCAGACTGATAACATATCAAATGCTATTTTCTATTTATATAGTGAAAACCGACTTTTTTCACTGAAATGAGGCGGAGATTAAGATCACAATATTTTCTTTCATAGATATAAATAGTAAGATGATGAATCGTTTTTCAGCTGTATCAGTATCCGTGGGTGTATGGACTTTAGTTGCTATTTCACTGGAGCGATATTTTGCAATTTGCCGACCCCTGGAATCCAGGAGATGGCAAACTAGGAAACATGCTTTCAAGATGATAATCACAGTTTGGATTTGCAGCTTATTATGGAATGGTCCGATTTTGTTCGTGTCCAGATTACAGGCAATGAAGTCAGGTTAGAATAATATATATATATATATATATATATATATATATATATATATAATTTATCTTAGAACAATATATTAAAATTACAAAATATAGCAGGTTGAAATTGGCAATGTCTAGGTCATTGTTTAATACATCGAATATTTTTGACAAATAAACGACGTTTTACTTATTCATCATTACTATCGACATGTCATAGTATGATATAAAAAACAGCATTCTAGAATAAACAATAATATCATACATTTTTCAAACCTAGCTCGTGGTGTATTTTATATGGAATAATAATTTCTTTAATATTTTTAGAAAGTCTCGTCAATTTTAGTTTTGCTTCTGTAACCAACCTTTCCTATTAAACTGCTGCTATCACAATTTTTTATTATAAACAAAATTTTTAATATATGTTTCAAACTAAGCTTCAGCAAATTATTAATACTCATCAAAATATAAAATCATCATATATATATATAAATGATGGAAAAATATGCCACGTGCTGTATGTTGAATAAATACACTAAAGCGATCGTAATAGAACGACTGAAATTTTAAAGTGAACTTAAACTTTTAAAGTTTTTTTAAAATGCCTTCAACTTTGTCGATCAAAGCAACATGTCATGCAATGATATTATATACTTAGAAAAATTGCAACTATATTAAATAAAAATAATTTTATCATATATAAATATATATATATATATATATATATATATATGTATATATATATATATATATAATATAATATAACAAATACATTCTGAGTGGATAGATAGATATTAATTTAGAAATATGAACAACCAACACTCTTTTTCACACGAATTTATTAAATAATAATTTCATAAACGTTTCGAGACTAGGTTTGTCTCATCATCAGTGTGTTATAATTTAAAATATAAAATATGGAAACCTAAATTAGCATTATGTGTTATCCGTTACAAGTCATTCACTATACTGCCCCAACGATCGTGGGAGTCTGAATTCTCTATTCAAGTTCAAGTGGTAAGTCACGCAATATCAAATAGAGAAGGAATAGGGCCCAGTTGATAAATAATTATGAATATTTTTTCTCCTAGCGACATCTGGTTGAACATTCTAACCTCCATTCTGTGAACTATATTAATCAAAACTAAGTAAATAATATGCAATAATTTAATAATAAAGATAACTAATTTTCAGTTTGGTATTCTTATATTAAAAAACAAAAACACTATTTCTCCTTGATATGAGAATATGCATATTTTTTGATATCACAAACAAACAAACCTCACAAACAAACATGAATAACATTTAATAAGATATGTGGTTAGTTGTTTGTGATATGAAAAGACTTATATTTTGCCATTGCGCACATTCTCATACCGTAAAGCAATAGCTATTTTTATCATTTTAATATAAGCACACCATACTATAACTGTTTAATATTAGTTTTTCTTTTAGTTAAACTAATACATTTATTTTCTATTATCGATTATGTCTTGTATATTAAATTATAGAGAATATTCTAGTGATTAAAAATTAATTAGTTTTCCCAGAACACTGCAAATGGGTAAGCAGACAGAAATTTCATATCTCACAGAGCCCTGCAATAATTCAATAGAGAACTTATAGTCTGAGTTTAGAAGGTATCTTATGAACAATTATAATTCACCACCATTATCGCTCAAAGTTCTATGGACACGCGTTCAAGAACTGAGATAAAATTTCTACTATTACTTCAGAAGTCTTGTGTAAATATAAATTAAATAGATCTTAGACTTAATATGTAATCATGAAGAAATTTATCTTTTTTAAATAGCGCAAAAGTGGTCAGGTGATATTGTATTGAAAAATCTAAAACAATATTATTTTTCATGGTATTAACTGCGTTGAGTATCATGAAAATGGTGGAGCTTTTTACACGACGTCGATGCTGATATGCTTCTTGAGTGGACTGTAATTTTTATAATCGGCGAAATGTGAATTCTCCACGATGATTGTTTTTGCAAATAAAAGTCCTGTTAGGGGGAAGTCCCGTAACGCCGGACAGCACCAAGAACCGGGCACTCTATTTAACACGTATTATTTAAGCGAGTATAAATCTTTTCATTTCAAAATACAATTGAAAGGGGCATGGGGGCCACACAGGATCACTTTTCTGAGAGTTTACGTAATATATTCCAGGTATTCAATTTTGTTCTGTATGAGTGCTAACGGTCACTACATACCCCTATTCTTTGTATTTCCTAGTCAAAGAATGAAAATCTTATGATGAATGCTCCATCTAAGAGCATCGGTGTGGCCCAGCTAAAAGAGTGGATAAATAGCGATTTTTTTGCAATATTTAAGAATATTAGTCAAAGTCACAAGTGCAAACATTCCAAAGTGTGGAGATGGCTACATATGTGATCAATGCAGGTTATTTTGAAATGTCCGGTACTAGGTGCCATGTTAAACTCATATTATTTGATACCAAAGTTTGATTGATAGTAATAATTATTTTTGAGCAAAGATTGCGGTTTTGTTAATTTAGTTCAATTTCTAACTTTGTTATCTAGCATAAATCATAATTTAATAAACATTTCGTAAAATATTTCCTGATTTATTTATAAATTACCTTAAGTGTCCGCCACTAGGGGACTTTCCCCTATATTCAGGTTAAATTAATTCAATTTTATTTTACAAATACGTCCTTCTTCTTTGACTAATAATACTAGACAAAATATTTATCTGAATTTCAGGCCTGATAGAGTACATTTTATTGTCTTATTTATTACTCAATTATATGAGCAGTCGAACCTGGGCAGGATCGTTCCTTATTTACGGGATTAACAAAATTTTTCCTGACCCTTATATGAAATGATATTTCATAATTTTATGGCGACGGTTAAACCAGATGTTTTAATTTAAAAAAATCATCTAAATGGTAATCATGTATGGTTGCAACGGTTTTGCACCGAACTGTGTAGATAAATATATATATATATATATATATATATATATATATATATATATTTATATACATACAGTTTTTATTTATGTATCTATGTCATGTAATAGCAAACCGTATCAGCATTTATATGGATGTATGTCCCGATCTGCATTGCACTTTGCAGCATAAATTGCCATGCATATGTGTCCTTATGGGATCGTAATGCAAGTAGTTTTCAGACCTTTGAAATACTATTATTCTAGCGGGAATAGACAATTGTTGAAACATTCTTAGCATTTTCTCTGGCGTGAGATAAACAAATACGTAAAAACGAGTCAAACTTATATACGGATTAATCCGTTTCGAGCTTGAATCAGAATTTTGCAAATCATTATACATTTATTAACCATCATAAAACGTTTGTAATTATTCTAATTACTGTCACTGCGGAATTAAATCCGGAAAAATGTTGAAGAGAATTCTGATTATTTAAAATTAGATGGTAGACAAACCACGTTCTCAAATAAAACTTTCAGCACTAAAATGTAATGTGACCAATTTGTTTGATTTAAACGTGAAAGAATAAAAAACATAAATAGTTCATTAAATTAGGCAGTATAATTGATTATATAGACCTACTATAGGATTTGTGGTTAATAAGTTTTCGAGAATCTGTAGATTGTGGGCTAGTATATCTGGATATTTATTAGCTCCACGAGAATATAAATCATAAGTTCGACGAACAATTGGTTGTTGGAGAATAGGATAAATGATGATAATTTACAGATGGCTTTGGCTAACATAAATCACTTATTTATACACATTCATAAAACTTTATATACTTGAACATTCTTGAAAATAATCGTGTGTATATAGATTCTTGATTGTGTCCTCTAATAACCATAGAATTTTTCAAGATAATATATTTGTAAAGAAAGTAAGCTCTTATAGAGTTTATACAAAGAATTGTTGGATCTAACATAATATAAACAATTCATGTTATAAAATAATAAAGTAACATATACCTAAAAATTATGTTACCATATCGTAAACTAAGCAACTGTGTTCACAACCGAAAAAATAATTAACAACAAAAAATACTTTTGTTATTGATTTTCAAATATTGCCATTTATCTCCCGATAGCAAGGTCGTAATAATCGAGGTGATAGCTGCTCTACCCTATAGATATTGGATAGTTGAGTCTTGGTTTTATATATGCTGTATTAAATTTCCAAGGAATCCAATTATTCCAAAAAACCATAAGATTAAAAAAAATTATTTCAAGAACATGATCTATATCAATATATAGATATATAGAGGCAATAATAAACTAGTTGGTTTGATATTTAGCCTTGAGGCAAGTTACATGAACTTCCCGATATGTGTAAATAATTGACTTAATTAATAAAATATAAATTAATTTATGAGTGATTAAAAGTATTCCGAGTGGATTTATTACACATAATTGAAAACGAACAAACACGTTAACTCGGAGTATTTTACAAAAGCAAATTTTTAAAAATTTATAATTTTCATAATTGAATGAGTTTTTATAGGAATTTAATAATTTAGTATGTTCATTAAAACCAAGTACTCTATCGTTATCCAAGTGAGTGAATCGTCTAATTTTAATTTTAACAAACGCCAAAAAAACTACTCATTTTCTCAAACTTTGATAATTTTTTTAATATTAAACTACTTGTCGTAAGGCCGTAATATTACAGTAAGTTTTATAAACCATGATATATATCGCTAAAAAAATCCATAAAAATTGGCCTAATTTTTTTTTCAATAGTTAATTACAAGAAAACGGCTCGGTACATTTTCACCTTAGTTTTTGATTTTTTCAAATTGGTTCGGTAGGATGAGCTTTTAAATGTAGACGAAAAGTTTAACTTTTTTTCCAAATTTCAAAGAAACGGCTTAGCCGATCGTCGTACAAAACTGACAAACGACAGTCCTCATCGAAATACATCAAATGGTTTTTAAATTTCTTAAATCTGTTCAGGCGTTTTTGAGAAAACGTCGATGAAAGGTCTAATTTTGACAAATGCCAAAAAAACGATACCAATTTTTGCAAACTTTGACGAATTTTCAAAGTTAAACCAATTGTCGTAGGGCCGTAATATTTTAGTATGATCTAGAAGACTATAGTGTCTACCGTCAAAAAAATAATAACAAAAATCGTCGAAAATTTTTTTTAACATTTTATTACAAGCCGGTCGATCTTTACCAAAAACTAATCAACACGATTCCCAATCAATATCTTTCGAACGGTTTTTGAATTTTCTTAATCGGTTTAGAATTGCGGGCTAAAACGTAGACGAAAAAATTTTCACTTTTCTGCTATTTATAAAGAAACGTCTCGGCCGATCGTCTCACAAAACTGACAAACGATAGTCCTCGTCGAGATACATCGAATGGCTTTTAAGTTTTCTAAATCGGCCCAGCCGTTTTCGAGAAAACGTCAAAACGGCAAAAAAACTGTTCACAAATTTGATCTCATTCGATTCAGAATGGCTTGAAACGTCGAGAAAACATAAAATTAGCGAATCGGATTTTTTTATGAAAACATAAACTTCTCCTTCGGGAAGTTAATAAATCACGGTATAACTAGCTTTTGAACAATGGAAAGATAAAATTCATTCTATGCATCTCGAATGAGTATTTTCATCAGACTACATTGTGAGTTGTTTGAAATCAGTGTTTTCAATGATAAAAATACATAATGTGGATATGCTATTTTGAGCTATTCCAATCTCAGTATTCTATCTATATTTGCCAATTCAATAATTCATTTCCATTTTCACATTTTCAGGTCATCACAAATGCCGCGAGCAATGGTCTTCTGCAAATGGAGAGCGAATCTATAATTTATTTTTGGACGCGGTTCTACTGATTCTGCCTCTTCTGATTATGAGTCTTGCTTATTCTCTAATTGTAGGAAAGCTTTGGAGAGGACTGAAACGTGAAATTGGCCAACATAATATGACTAATAACATGTTGCTTATACAAGGTATGTATTTAATGTAGATTAAACGATGTGTGCCTTTAATGTTTATTAAAACCTTTAGTACCATAATTTAATTCAGTGTTCTCTCAATTAAAAAAAGACTTCTTGAAAAAAAATGTTTTCTTTATTTTGATATATTTTGGAAATTCTGAACTTTTTTCAAAGCAATCGTACTGCTTTAACTGCATAGAGATGAAATATCGAAGCGCGTAAGCGCCGGGTCTCCGTCTAACGCATTAACAGAATTTATACTTATTGATAAAATCTCTAAAAAATATCTGATAATTTGATGTGCACATGTCTAATGATCATTTTTGACCGCCAATTGGCCTTTTTTTACTTTTTTCACTAGATCTCCGAAACTGCTAGACCTGCCTTCATAAAAATTTGTTCAATTCTTTATCTTGTCATGAGAAGTAAAATGTTTTTCGAATTGAGTTGCCGTTTGTGGCACTTTTTACCCCGTATGTTTGAAACGGCTAGACCTTCTTATGCCAAAAACTAATCAGCACGTCTCCTTATTAACAGAAATTGAATGTTTTCTGAATAGTCAAAATTAGTTGAATAGCCGAAATCGTCGATAAAAATGTGTATCAGCACACACACACGCACATACACACACACATACATCAATTTTTTCCAAGGTATGACAAAGGGTTCAGAAACCTCATTTTCTCAAACAATTTTCATTTTCGATTTATTTGCGATCACTATAACTTACTCTACAGGAAGTTAATAAAGTTGATATATATATATATATATATATATATATATATGTTTCATTTGAGTTTAATATTCGGGCGTAACATCAATAAAAATAGTATGAGTTTTTTTTTTAAATTTATTTATTTAAAATCCATACGTTTCGGCTAGCATCTTAGCCATCATTCAGTGGTAATCAAGTTAACTATAAAAATTGAAACTAAATAAATTATATGAAAGGAAATTCCATGGAAAAACAATAATAATAATAATAGTAATAAAACACTTACAATTTTGTATCCTAATATAGCATATGAAACCATTATTAATCCATGGTATGAGTATGTGCACATTGATAAGATATATATTTTTTAACACAAACATCACAAATGGTAATATATATATATATATATATATATATATATATATATATATATATATTGAGAGTAGTCAAATCTGATTCACGCTTTGTAATTAACCCTTAATTCCTTCGTTTTTAATTTAAAGCTAGCTTTAGCTTTAAAGCTACTAGTTTAGAACGATATCTAATTCGGTGCATGAGATTTCGTAGATTATTTATTTATTTATTTATTTATTTATTCATAAGCAAGCCGTAATCAATAATAATAGATATTATTTCAGGCTCTTGTCAAGCTTATACATAATTAATATTAAAAGGATAGTAATTTTATAATAATCATAGTAGATGCACAATTTTCGCTTCTGAAAAAAGAGCTGAAAAAAAAAGCATTCGAACATTAAATACATCATCAAGTTCATTATAATAAAGTCTATTGGACCACCAGTCAAGCTCAAAATTCTTGCACAAGGTTGAAAGTTATACTCATCTAAAACCGTAAAAAAAATAAATTAATAAATAGCAATAAAAAAACATGGTTGTACAGGCGATCAAAAGGTCAGACTATATAGATAAAGAATAAGGATTATGCAAGAAAATAGTTATTGAAATCAAATTGAGATTTGATTGAATTGAATTGAGAGATTAATTGTGATTATGCCTATATTGGCGATACCAAACAAATCTTGAATCCAAAACCAGCATGACATTGATTCTACAAATAAAAATCAAGGGCGCACAATGATTACCAATCGCTCAAAAATCATTACCACAAATCGGGTATACCACAAAGACGCTTTGCAGAATCAACGTTCATTCTACGCGATAAAAACAGTATTATTAAACGGAGTGATACTAGCTTCTTATGCGAAAACTATAATCAGTTTATTGTTAATAATGTTTTCACATTTATGTCGGAAATTTAACTTTGCATACATCCTTTTATTACTTACATTTGCAGCTTATTAAATTTGCCTTGAATGACCGGCATTTCTCTACAACTCATTTTAAAAATATATTTTATAAAATAGTGACTATTGACATTTTGTGCTTCATTGCCGATTTATCTCTGTAATATGTTAGTGTAATTCTAAGAAGTGCCTTTGTAACATTTTAATTTGTTTTTGATATACAGTAGAACCTCGATTATCCGCACTTCGGTTATACGGATTTGCGATTATCCGGACATAATCGCGTCGGAACTTTATATGGGCATATTCCGCCCGCGCCGCTGTTTCGCTGCCCCGCGCAGCCTTATCGCTTTATGTAATTTGTTTGCAATTTTGCTAGTGTGTTCTGACGTGCATATATGCATTTTTAAAGGGTGGTGTTATTCCTTAAAGATAAAATAAAGATTATAGAATCATTAAAAATGGCGAAACCGGCCGTAAGTTAGCTGATAGGTATGGTGTAAGTACATCCACTATAAGCGATACTAAAAAGAATGCCGATTCAATTTAGTCGTACACTTGCAAGTTACATAGTAAAGAGAGAGTGAAAATCGGAAAATGATGAACAGACCAAAAAATTAACTCTCAGAAGAAGCTCTATATTGTTGGTTTTTACAAAAACGATCAACAAATTATTCGTAAGCAACATTGATACTTTACGTACCACCTGAATATTTTACCTCATGATTAATATAATATGTATAATGTAATCTAATCATAATATTTGTGAAAATAAACCGAAATATCACAGTCGAGTTTCGGCAGCCGTAGTGAGCACATCGTTCAAAATATTTATTTAATAGTATAATTTGATTGTAGTGAATAGAAGAAATTATAACGGGTTATTATGGATACCGAGCCACCTGACCCGGGTGGCGGTGAGTCACAATCGTTATCAGATGTTGATATAAATACAAGTAGTGAAAGTGAATTGGAGTGGGATAATAATACATATTATGTCACAGAAGGTGACAAAATTCATTGGGTAAATGATACTACTAATATTAGAGATAAATCGGGAATAATTAATAGGAAAGATGGTGAAACATATAGAAGTTACAAAGAAAATAATGTAATGACTGGTAATAATTCAATAAATGACAGATCGGAAAGTACAAATAAAAAGTTAAAAGCAGATGTAATTGAAGAGGCAAATGCAAATCAAACTAGTGATAATAATTCAGTAGTAAATGAAAACAATGAAAACAATAATAATTGGTATAATATGTGTGTAAAGGACATGGAAACTATTAAAGAAATGAAATTTTATCAAGAAACGGATGAAGGCCCATTTATAGTGCATGCTGAGAGTAAAGATAAAAATATTGGAAGATTTCACCCAATGGCAGTAGGAAGAATCTTTCATAAACATTTAATAAATTTGAGTAAAGATATAGAAGAAATCAGATCAATCGGTAAAAATAAAATAAATATAGTATTGAAAAATTATAAGAGTGCAAATAGAATAATAAGAGAAAATTTATTAGAAATATTTAACATTAATGCATATATACCTAGACACAAATTAATGAGATCGGGAATTATCTTTGATATTGACCCAGAAATAGATGAAAAAGAAATATTGAGCAGTATTCGAAGTGATTGTGAAGTTTTGGCAATTAAATGTTTAAAGGGTAGAAATAATGAAACAAAAAAGGTTAGATCACAACGAGTCAAAATAGTATTTAGAGGTAATAAATTACCGGAAAGAGTTTATATACATTCAGTGAGTTGTAGGGTTGAACCATTTATTCAGAAAGTAATACAGTGCCACAATTGCTGGAGGTATGGTCACGTACAGGCCCAATGTAAAAGTAAAATACGTTGTAAAAAGTGTGCAGAGGAACATAAAATGGAGGTATGTAAAAGTGAATTAGTGATATGCGGTCTATGTTATCGAAATCATCTAGCGGATGATAAAGGCTGTGAGGTTTACTTAAAAAATAAAAAAATTAAAGAGATTATGGCAATGCAGAATATAACATATTCCGAAACAAGAAAGATAGTGCAAAACAATGGATACGCTGAAGCAGTTGGTAACACCAATCAGTTTAAAACATATGAAAGTAGTTACCCAGAAATCATTAATACCACTGCACGGAATTCAAGTACATCAAGTAGTAATAGGTATCAAATACTATCAAATTGGAAGGAAAAAGAAGAATATTATGACAAAGAAGTGTTAATGAGAATAAATAAGCCATATAATAGGAATAATATGAGAAATTTTTACAACAGAAATTTTGAACATCGGTCAGGGGTAGATTTAGTAGAAAGAAATGATAGTACTAACTCAAACAGAAGGAATAAAAGAAATGAGATTAGAGAAATATCAACTGCACGGAGGATACAATTGAGAAGTGATATTATGAATATAATTAAAAAACTAGAGGATCAGAGATATGGGATAGATGTAAATAAAGAAGATAATATGAATTTGATAAAAACAAAATTAGAATTAGTTTTAGAAAGTTTAGGTAAAGGTAGTGAAAAAAAATCATTAGAAATGGTTTATTCTGAAGGAATTGATTAATTATTTATTTAGCGAAGATTAATGTGTGAGTATGTAGGTATAAATTTAAAATTTAAAATTTAAAAATTATATATATATATATATATATATATATATATATATATATTGAAAAAGAAATAATAAGAAGATAGTTAAGGTTCTATTGTATTTATTTGTTTATTTGGTTAAGTAATGTTAAATTAATTAATTAATTATTGTTATTAATTTTTATATATATAAGGATTAAATTATGAGAATAATGCAATGGAATATTAGATCGTTTTATGCAAATAAAGAAAGTTTAGAAGAGTGGTTATATAATAAACAATTAGATATAATAGCATTATCAGAAACCTGGTTAATAAGAATAGGCAGTATAATCTAAAAAATTTTAATTGTATAAGAAAAGATAGGAACGATAATAAAGGAGGGTCGGCATTATTTATAAATAAAAATATAGATAGTAGGGAATATGAAATAA